TGTTAGCCTGCTCCTCCAGCCTACCAAGCTCCCTCTGATGGCATAACAACCGTCTGGTGTATCAGCTAGTCCTTCCAGCTTTGGAAGCTCCCAAACTCAGAGTATACTCTGTCCCATCATGCATGTCCCATCACCACTAATGACCATATTAAAATTACTGGACCCCTGGTGTACACATCAGAAACTGGCCTACAGCTGCCATGTGTTGCTGATCACAAACTTTTGAACTCAGCAGATGATACAATTCCCAGCCCATCTGACTGTCTTCTACCTAGTCCCTACTTTATTAGTTAATCTGTAAAGATTTTTTTAAAAAGCTTTTGATGTGCCAGAAGCCTTGCTAGAGTCTATATAAACAATATTCACTCTTCTTCCTTCACCCAGCGAGACAGTCACCTCATCATAAAAGGCTACCATATTGCTCAAGCAAAATTTCCTCTTCAGAAACCCATGCTGCTCATTCCCAATCACCTTCTTGTCCTTTATATGCTCAGAAATGGTTTTCATTATTATTTCCCAGGGATTCCCAAGAATTAAAGCAAGATTGATCAGCTTGTAGTTACTCAAATCTTCTTTCTTGTCCTTCCTGAAGACAACAGTAACATCTGCTTTCTTCCTTTCCTCAGGAACCTTCACCAGTAATCATGAACTTTCAAAGATTATCAGAAGTGGCCTCCCAAAGACAAAGACCATCTCCCTCAGCACTCATGGGCACATCCCAACAGGACCCATGTCGTTTTTCATGTCCAATCTGTTCAGTGCTGATCCTTTTCTATCAAGGGTAAGTCATCCTCACTCCTCTTCAAAATAATTCCATTTTAATCCTAATTATATAAGGCATTTCAGTATTTTGCACTACCTGTCCCAAGGTGAAAGATAAGGATCCATTTTCAGATACATCCTGATCTCCTTGTAACAATAATGCAAGTCCTAGTGATAGTTTTTCTATTCCACAGGACAAACATGGAGAGTGAGGGCCAAATATTACCTACAAATGTGGTTTTAAACACATCCTGACAACCTCAGGCAGCAAGACAGAGTATCTACTTTCAAGCATTATCATATAATGCTGGTGTTTAAATTGCATTGGGATCTCCAAAAATTCCACTACAACACCATTGCAACTGGAAAGGTACCAGCATTCTCCTTACACCTCCACCACAGATGATCAGCTATGGGCATTCAGGCAGTGTCTACCACATCTAGACCTCATCTACATGCAGCTTGAATTGCACACCATAATTTGTGAACACAAATGAAAAAAGAAGTAATAGCAGCAGAGCCATTCACCTTTACTCTTTTGCAGATTACAGTTTTCACCCTGAAGCTGAAAGCCTTCCCTGACTGAGGGTAGTCCAACACTCAGGTTTCCCAGAAAATGACCTTATTATTACACACTATTGAAAGAGAGGATGATTACCCTCTGTTATTCAGGTTATAAAGTCATTACATAGCAATATTCACACAGCAAATGAAAAAGAAGCAAAATTATTTGGTTCTGGTCTCAATTCATAGAATCACTTAGGCTGGAAAAGAACTCTCATTATTTAGTCAAACCACTAAAGGAGTTACTAAGATTGCAAGGGGACTGGAATGCACAATGAGATGAGGCTGAGAACTGTGTTTGTTGAGCTTACGAAGAGAATGCAAAGGGAAGACCTTGCTGCTCTCTTCAACTGAATGGAAAGTCCCGGTGAAGATAAAGCATAATTCCTCTCACAGACAAAAAGAATTAGGATAAGAGAAAGTATAAAAGAATAAAGGTAGAATACAGAAAATTTCTGACATGGAAAATGTGAAGTTTTGAGGGGTTTTTGGTCATTGCAGCGTTTGTTTGTTGGTTGTTTTTCTTCCGCCTCCCACAATCATGGTGATCAAACCCCAGAACAGGTTACAATGAAACAGATTCTCCACCCTTGTAAGTAAACAAAACCTGGCTGAGCAACATGCTGTAGTCAGACCAGCTTCGACCAGAAATTTGGTCCAGATGAATTTTTCCCAACCTACCTGATTCTGTGACTACAGGGCCTCTTTCCATGTAAAAACTATTTAATCAGATGTAGAAGCAGCACTGTTAAGGAACAGAACTCGGTCCCTTTCTCACCAGAGTTCAGTGAAACTTTGCATTTCTCCAGCCCACAGATCTTGTCTTTCTTTCTGATTAGGAGGTCAGCTCTGCCCATGAACAAGAAGTATCCCATGATACATCAGTTGCACAGTTAAGGAGCCCTCTGGGAAGCTGGAAGTTTGAGCTTTCATGTTGAATCTATATTTCTGAATCTCAGCCTCTGGGCTGGAAGGCTAAATAACATGGCTGTGGCCACATTCTTTGCCCAAGGCTGACTTTCAAAACAAGGTTACTCAAAGAAGAGGTAGCAACTGTAAAGCCTTAAATAAGGCATATTCTGACACATACTTTGTCCAGCTTTTCCAGTAAGCTGGCTCTAAACAGACAAGTGCTTTACTAGCAGGCACTCTAACTAATGTCAAGTGCCCAGAGTCCTCCTCCAACCAATAAAAGGTTTCCCAGGACCATTTAAAAACCTCTGAGAAGAATCATTTGGAGGTTCTGAATTGTTGACAAGCTTAAGCAATTAAATTCTCAGAGTTATATCTAGAACTGTGTCCTGCACACATAGACTTTAATATATTTGTACAAGGGAAGACTGTGGCAAATGCTGAGCTAACTTTTCTCCACTGCCAGTGAGACCAAAAAGCAACAGTGATCAAAATTATATCAAAATGATTTTGTACATGGAATAGTAAGCAGCAACTAACTTCAGCCAGAAAAAGAAACGGACATGTGATAAGGTATTTATGAAAATAGATCAGAATCAGAAAACAAGAGCAAACAAATTCACTGCCAGATTTTCTCACTCCGTGAGGGAGTTATTTATTAACCTGGAGAGACAGATGGGTTTACAAAATTAAACAGCAATTTTGTTATGCAGGTTGTTATTGCTACCCTTGCAACACAACTTTAGTTAATCTGCATTACAGCAAAAACAGGGCATTATTTTAGACACACATACACACACAACATTTTTGCTCAATACCCACCACTTCAACATTCTGCATCAAAAAACAATGATGTAAGGAACACTAAAGCAGGCCATTTCCAGTACTCAGAATAAATGGGAACTCAAAGTAAACTTCAGGAATTCTATTTTGGGAAAGGGAAAATTTGGTGTAGTATGTTTCTGCTAAGGAGAGGACTCCAAGTTTTACTTTGTTAGCATTTGTGTAAACCTGTAAGATGCTAAGATACAAAGTAGATGTTCCAGAAAAAACTCCATGTCCAGAGTTCTGAAAATTATTGAGGAAATACAGAAAAGTAATCTCAAGATACTCCATAATGTATTTTTGCTATTCCCAACATATAATAAAGAACTAACCAGTCATTTCTTCTTTATAAACAAAACTAGATACACGTGCACTGATGTTGTTTTCAAAGGTTTCTGTGATGTTCTTTAGATTATTCAATATGTCAAGGCAGAAAGTATCCAAGCTAAATTATGTGAAAATGCTCACCACTGCTTTTTCCTACTACTGCATAGATAATAAGTGCTCTTTCTCGCCAATATTAAGTATGAAAAGTTTTAAATAACTGATTTTTTAAAAACATCCTGGGCAAACACAGTTATAAAAAAGCAATTATGCAAACTAAAATTTGTAAGTGAAGAATGAAGTATCTTTCACTGGAGCAGCTTTTTTTTTTTTTTTTTTTTTTTTAGGAAAGAAAAAAAAATTAAAAAAAATCCACTCTCAAACCAAAAAGTTAACCTTCCCACATACCAAATTCCCTTGAAGAAAGGTAGTTAGGGATTAAATGGAAACTTTTACTCAAGTTGTGCTGGGCACTTAATTTCTAGTTTTGAGCCTGAAAAAGACCTTTGGCACTCTAAGCTTGTCTGTATCCCACGCCCCAATTACAGTACAAGCTGCGTCTACAATCACTTAGCAAACATCTTCAGATTAGCCTGGTTACAACAGCACACGACATGCTACCATTACAACATTACCTGCATCAAGGTATTTATTCAAAGATTCATCAAGAGGAGGTACTGGCAGGGAAGGCAGAGAATCTTGGTACTGAAACGTTCGCTCCTCTGAGGATCCAAGCACTTGCTTTTCCATGTTGCAAATCTGCAGCACAACCAAACAAGACTATTCACGAAGCCCACGTTCGATGACGAATCTCCCCAACACTGTTCTTTCCCCCGCTCCGGCCTCCTGCCATTGACACGGTAAAAGACAGATATCAGGAAACGTTCCCCGACAAAGCATGGACCGAGGGTTCCTTGTTGGCTTGCAGCCATGAGAGGCACACACACAGCAGGGGGAAGCGATGACCAGGCGGCTACTGGCGCTTTCCCCAGCACGTCTCCATTAAGCAGCTCGAAGGTTGTCACTTTCTCTCCCAAGGAGCAGGCAGTCAGTCCTGGGACACCCCCCCGAGACTAGAGGGTCTCTGGGGAACGGGCAATCACCCCCAGCCCGGCTGGCGGCCCCTCCGAGTCCCCCACACCCTCCCCAAGGCCCCCGCCCGAGCCCCGGCCGTGCCCTGGCCCCAGCGCGCCCTGGGCCGGGCCGAACTGAGCTGGGCCGAGCCGAGCCGGGCTGATCCGGGCCGGGCCGGGCCGGGCGCGAGGCCCGCGACACCACAGCGCTGTTTACAGCGGCTCAGGGCCCGACTGAGGAAAGCCTCGGAGAGCCCCAGGAGGACGGGGCCTGGGTGTAAGGAGACAGCCGAGCCGAGCCCACCTTTCTTCCCCGCACCCCCGAGGAATGAAATCGGCGGGGACCACCGCTCGCCCCGGCCACACCAGCCCCGGATCACCGCCCACCTCCTCGGCCGCCGCCTTCGCTCCTGCCCCACTTCGCAGCGGGTCCGGAAGCCGCGCGGGGCGGGGCGGCCGCGGGGGCGACAGGGGAGGGAGGGGAGCGGCCTGGCCCGTCCCGTGCGCCCTGGGCACGGCGGAGCACTTAAAAGGACAGCGGGAAGCTGTTGGCTCCGTGGAAGGCAGGTGGGACTCGCGGACACGCCCGGACCAGTTGGAGCACTGGGCAGTCACCAAGTGTGTGAAGTGTAATAAGGGCAAGTGCTGGTCTGCGCCTGGGACAGCGCAACGCTGGACGTACGTACGGACTGGGGAATGAGAGGCTGGAGACCTCATTTCCATCGGCCTAGGGTTCCTGGTCGATGGAAAGTTGAATATAAATCAGCAGTACCCTGATAGGCAGGAGGGCCAGCCCTGTCCTAGGGGGCATCAGGCACAGCATCACCAGCCAGGCAAGGGAGGGGATTGTCCTGCTCTGCTCTGGGGCGGCCTCACCTCCAGTGCTGGGGGCAGTTTTGGGTGCCACAGTATAAAATAGACATTAAACTGTTAGAGAGCTTCTAAAGGAGAGCTATGAAAATAAGGAAGAGCCTTGTTATAAATGAGAGACAAAAGTCTCGATATTCAGCAAAATTTAGATTGCTTTATTTGATATAGAAAGAGCAAGCAGCGCGCTGGGGAACGTGAGGGGTCACCGCCCACTCCACGCTCCACCGAACCTTGGTTTGCAGCCTCTTCTTATACTGTGGGTTCTCGTTGTTCACAAATTCACAAATCCTTTGGGTGATAATTAGTCACAGATAGCCATCCAGTCCTTGTAGATGACCGCCAGGGAAGTTCTGGAGGTCTGGTCTTTGTAGATAACCACCAGAGAAGTTCTGGGAGTCTGGTTTTTGGGATAGGCAGTATTGATCAAAGGCAGGAAGGGCTTTTTGGGAAGTCCAGTTTTGCAAGCTGGTAGCCAATACAACTTATTTGAAAAACATAACATATTATAATGTAACATAATACAACATAATATAACATAACAAGGTGATTTTAAACAGAATTATTTAATCATATAATTTCCTTTAGCTAGTGTCCATGCTTCACTTTAGAGCTTAGTATTCTGGTTTATACAAACTCTAATGCTTTTGTGATTAACACGAATCTTTTATCAATTGTCACAGCCTAGAGGGGAAGCCACATGAGGAGTGGCTGAGGTCACTTGGTCTGTTCAGCCTGGGGGACACCAAGGGGAGACCTCACTGCAGTTACAGCTTCCTTGTGAGGGGAAGAGAAGGGGCAGGCACTGATCCCTGCTGTGTGGTGCACAGCGACAGGAAACAAGGGAATGACTTGAAGTTGTGTCGGGGGAGGTTTAGGCTGGATATTAGGAAAAGGTTTTTCCAACCCAGAGGGTGGTTGGGCACTGAAGCAGGTTCTCTAGAAAACGGGTCACAGCACCAAGGCTGCTAGAATTCAAGAAGCATTTGGAAGATGCTCTCAGGCCCATGGTGTGATTCTTGGGATGTCCAGTATAGGGTCAGGAGTTGGATTTCAGTGATCCTTAGAACTTAGGATCTATGACAAAGGGAGAAAGTGCAGCTGGGGTTGCACTAGAGGCAGGGGCTCTTCACAGCTGCTGTCCCCTATGGTCTGTGCTCTTAACTCCACTGGTGTCCTTAGCAGGACTGAGACTAGATGCAAGCCCTGGCTGGCCCAGGGGACTCCTCACCCAGGCCCAGCTGCTTTGTGGGTGGGCAATAGCTCAGGAATCTGGAAGGGTGTTTCTGTGGAGCAGGTCTGGGCTGATGGGTTTCTGTGCCACCTGTTAAAATACTATGTGGGAGAAATGCTTGTGGTGTGTGACTTGCAGCTCCACAGCAGTAGGAGTAAGCAGTAACCAGAGTGATTGGGTGGCATTTGGAGAAGTCTTCACACGCTGGAGCAAGCATTGCACCACATGATGAAGCACTGCTTGTATTGGAAAGGACATGTGGAGCCCACCCAGCCTTACTTGCCATGGTTAATGAGGTTTCTACTTTCAAGGACACCTGCCAGTACTGCTGTTTGGCACATTGAAGGGGTCTCCCACACTTGCTTGTGTAACTGGGTGGTGTGTGTTGAAGAGCTATGGTTCAGCCCAGAGTCATAAAAAAAGTTTAAAAATAAATTCCATGACATAGTCTGCCATACTCAGAACAAAATGGCACCATGTTCCGTGACTTCTTTCCTCATTGTGTCTGCAGCAGTGGCACCTTCTGTTTGCTTCTTTGTTGTTCTCTGCCTTTGCTGCCAAAATGGCTTCCCATTACCTGGTGTCATGGTTTAGCTCCAGCCAGCAGCCAAGCCCCAACTGCTGATTCACTTGCCCACCAGTAGGATCAGGGAGAGGATCAGATAAGTAGGAGTTATAAATCTCATGGGTAGGGAAAGCAAAAGCTGCACAGAAAAGCAAATCAAAACAAGGAATTCATTTGCTAATTCCCATGGACACGTGTTCAGCCATCCAAAGGAAAGCAGAGCTCAGTCAAGTGTAACAGGTACTTGGGAAGACAAACACTATCACTTAAAATGTCCCCCCATTCCTCCACTTTATATACTGAGCTCTTTGTGAAGCCTATAGTGCTGCATGGGGTTGTTTTAACCCAAGGGCAAGACTCAGCACTTCATCTTGTTGAATCTCATATGATTGGCCTTGACCTTTGATCCACCCAGTCCAAATCCCTCTGCAGAGCCTTCCTGACCTCCAGCACATCAGCCCTCCCACCCAACTTGGTGTTGTCTGTGAATTCACCGAGGGTGCATTCAATCCCCTCATCTAAGATCATCAATAAAGATACTAAACAGGAGGTTGCAATCTCGAAACTGATTTTTTTCCCTTGAGATGGTAATTATCTTTCCATATTGATGTCTTTCCTCTTGATTGTTGAGCTACTTGCCTAGCACCATCTCTGCTGCCTTTTTCTCCAGTTTTATCTCTCTTATCTTTCACAGCTCAAGTCTATGGACTCCTTTAGAGCTCTTTCTCTCAACTGAATGATTTTCTCAAACATCTGAGCAAAGGTTATGTTGTTGCACCATAGCAGAACTAGGCTGACAGCAGAAGCAGTAGGAAAGGACGGGAGATTATGGTGCTCCTTGTTATGTTTGTTTTTAAAGCATGTTGAGAATGCATGTTGTGTGACTTTAATATTTATTTCAATCATTTTGCATTAGGGATGCTTTGAGTTTATCAGATGCAAGTGTCCCACAAATAAATTTCTCTTTAATAACGTCCTAGACTTTTTTCCAAGGCTAAGTAAAGGGATGGGTGAACAGCTTTCTGAAGGACATTATTTCAGTTGGTAAGGACACTTTTTTTTTTTCATCAGCAGCTTTTAGATGTTAGCAATGACATTAACTGATTTCTAATATAGTCTGCTAAAAGTGTAGCCATGAGAGATATGTTACCCATCTTATTAGTCATATTTTTCCCAGTATGTGCCATACTTTTTTCCATTAATTTACAGCATCTAGGTATAATGACAAAAGATTGCCTTAAGTCTTTATTTTTAAAGAAGCAAAGACCAGTATTTTCCTGAACTCAGGAGGTACTGAGATACGGCTTCCCGCACTTTTTCCCTGCATTTTGCTGTCTCTTAAATGGAAGATCACACCACTGCTTTTTGCTGAGTAAGAAAACTTTTGGGGAGATAAATCTATAAACCTCAAAAACCTGTAATAAATATTGCAATGCATGTAACAGATATGTTTTCTCTCTATCTGAACACCTCTTTTCATATACCTGTAATTTTTCTAGAAAGCCTAAGTGCCTTCCCTGGAAAACATTTTTTTAAACTTTTTTTAAGGATTATTTGAATAATGAATGTAACCAAAGGTGTGTGATACAGTAATGTGTAAGGTACTGATACAGATGCAGAAATAAAAAATTTGAACTGTTCACGATGTTTAGGACACTGAGACATTGGTGTCTATCAGTTACACAAACTGCATTGCTCTTGTGAAGATAAAATCAGTAGAGAATTACATTGCCTAAGTGTCCTACAGTGTGACAGCTCTGTTTTTACAGGATTGCAAACACCAAGTGGTCAATGCCCTGACCTGTTGAAGTTCCCATGTTCCCAGCCAGGTGTCTCAGATACATGCCTAGCTGTAAGCAATCCAGCAGCTTTGATAACAGACTCAATACCTACCATGAAATGGATCATTTGACTCCTAGGCTGACTATTCTACTTCTGTGCTTATTGCTGGGAGATGAGTGGACTACCTTAAATCTAAATTTTGGGAGTAGACTTGGATCTACTTGCCACCTGGGGATAGGGTTGCCTTTTCCCTGGCTTCCAGGATCTGCAGACAGCTCATATGTGTGCAAACGAGACGGTTCTGCTATGTAGGGTTTGCCAGTGCCTGGATACCTGAGGGGCCTTAGGTCCTGGACTACCCTGCTGGCAAATACCACACTCCTGCAGTTCACAAAGGCTGATTCCATGGATTTTTAGACAGTGTATTACAGAATAAATTTTCCTTGGGGAAATATCTTGGAGTTCTCTGCTGCAGGCACTTGGTGTTTCTTTACCTTTGGCTTTCTGTTCCCTTCAGGGTGGTGCTGATAGTCCATTTGTACTAGCAGCTGGTCAGTGCAAAAGCAGCTTTGTTGTTGCTTGTGTTTTCAATTGTGCTTTTCAATTAATAGTTGTCTGCCTAGTATAAGGTGATGCCATGACAATAAATAAAGTTCATGTAAAAAGTTAATCATGCCCTGAAAGCCTGTCTCAAAAACATGTTTGAAAAATAATCCAAAGTTTCTTTGGTATACCACATCTGGGTCCGTTTTAAATTCTGCTGTATTAGAAGGATGTTGAAATACTGAAGTGAGTGTGGTACAGTCCCCTGCAATTGTGACTGGAGTGGGTGGTGTACAGAAGAGACTGAGATAATTGGTTTTGTCTTAAGAGGGGAGTGCCAAATGAAGATGTCTTCACCTGCCTAATAGATGGATGTGCAGAGGATGGACAGAGCCAGACTCTTCTTGGATGTACTCAGCAAAAAGACAGAAGACTTGCAGATACAAGGGACAACAAGCATATAGATAGAAAGAAAGGTATTTCCCTAACCAGATGTCCTTAGATTTCAAATAGATTGAGATTCAACTGAATGTACTCCAAAGAAGACTATTTATTCTTTGTGGACTTTTTTTTTTTTTTTGTGAATGAAAATTAGATTGGCTGAATGTATCTTTCAAACCAGTAAGACAGACTCTGCAGGTTCTTTGTTTCAGGGAAAGTTGTAAAATAATCCTTAAAGGCAAATTA